GTTTTAAGATATTTCTTTTATTTTTTAATGCTCAGTTCTCGACACCGTTCCCGTTCGCCGGAGCTCGTAAATCTGGTGTGCTACAGATTTAGAGACGTTTGCCGTTGTATCTTTGGGGAAGTTACGCCTGAACCGTTAGCTGCCACACAGGGTGTATTCTTCTTGCGGAAAGAGTTTTACTCGCCTTAGCTAAAATCTTTCCGTTTTTCAGTTGTAATTTATTTTTCAGTTCAATTGTAATTTTCTATTTTTAGATTATTTGTAAGAACTGAAATTACATATCAGTTCGTAGAATTTCCGTGTAATTTTACACTCTAAATCCAACAGCGTGTAATATCAAGTTTTTTAAAAATTAGAATCTGTATCACTCTCAAACTTTTTAAGAGAAATAAATAAAAGAAATAGATTTCATGTATGTATAATTTAAGTCCAACATCTATAATTTATGAAAAAATAAGTTTTTTGGTTGAAAATTTGATGTAAATTGAACTTTTACACAATTCCATAACATTTTCGTTGATTGAAGCTTATCGATGAATATTTAAAAATAAATAAATAAATAAAGTAAAAAATATGTGATTGCACAAAAAAAGAGTAACAATAAACATTAAAAAATGTAACAATCCAACTAATAAATACTCAGTTTTATAAATCACTAAATCGATTTATAATTAAAAGATCGAAATAATAAATCATTATAAAGATTTTCAAAAATTTACCTAAAAATTTAAAATATAAGGATTGTTATTATATTTTTCACTTAATAAATAATATTGTTAGTTTAAATAAAAGTAGCAGAGAAGGTAAGTTTTAATTACTAATATATTGTAAATGTTTTTTACATTTCTATACATATTTTATAGTATTTTTTATATATTTATTGATTTTTAATAAATTTTAATTATTAGAATAATGTAATTGGTTTTTGTACTTTTATACATATTTTATGATATTATATATAGATATACATATTAATTTTTTTAAAAAACAAAATGAGGGGGCCCACGGCCTTTCTGGGCCCTATGTGGCTCCGTCATTGTCCTCAGGTACCGGAAATAGAGTCCTTGAACAACTCTAAGACAATTACACCAACCAAGATGGTCAATGATTCGAAAACAATAGATTATATATATAGTTTGTATGTCTTTCAAATAAATAACATTGAAAAGGAAATATCGAGTTCTGATCAAAATATTTTTTTGAATGTTTTAATGTTGGACTGGAACATAAGAGTCAGACAAGTATTGTTTTATTTATATTGGAATATTCACTTGTGAGTTGTCCCACATCGTTTACATAGGGAAAATGTCAAAAGCGAGAAAACTGATTCATTTCCCAACTTGATTTACAGAGTATTACAAAGGCTCAATAAATAGACACCAAGGAAGCCCTAAAGATATACACCAAATCTCTAAAATATCCAATCTTATCTCTACCAAAAATACAATATTCACAAAATCATATTAACACATTAACATCCCCCCTCAAGTTGGAGCATGCGGATTTCGAATGCCCAACTTGCCGAGAAAAAAATCAAACTCGCGTTTTCCCAAGGCCTTAGTGAAGATATCCGCCAATTGTGAATGAGTGGAAACATAAGCGGCAGAAATGAGACCTTTGACAAGAGCATCGCGAAAAAAATGGCAATCGACTTCAATATGCTTCGTGCGCTCATGAAATACAGGATTAGCAGCAATGTGCAAAGCTGCTTGACTGTCATAATGAATTCGCATGGGTTGAGAATGAGCGATGCCAAGGCTGTGAGTAAACCCTTCAACCACTTCAACTCACAAGTAAGGGTTGCCATGGCTCGATACTCAGCCTCGGCAGAAGATCGGGCGACGGTGTGTTGTTTCTTGGTGCGCCAAGAAAGAGGTGAATGACCAAGTTGTAAAAACCATCAGAGAGAGATCGACGTGTAGTGGGACAAGTCGCTCAATCAGAGTCACACCAACCATAAATTTGCAAGTCACAATCGGAACGAAGAAGAATACCTTGTCCAGGAGTACCCTTCAAATAACGAACCACCAGAAGAGCAGCATCCCAGTGGGCCTGACGAGGTTGCTGCATGAACTGAGACAGTATATGAACCGCATAGGATAAGTCTGGACGAGTAACTGTCGAATAGATCAATCGCCCAATGAGACGACGATAACGCTCGGGGTCAGAAAACAGAGAACCGTCTGCTAAAGGAAGCTGGTGATTTTGTTCCATGGGAAAGTCCGTCGGTTTTTCGCCGAGTAGACCGGTCTCGGTCACAATATCAAGAGTGTACTTTCGTTGGCATAAGAAAATGCCCGAAGAATTCCTAGCAACCTCAATGCCGAGAAAATACTTCAACACACCCAAATCCTTCATATTGAAACATCGACCCAGATAGTCCTTAAATGCAGCAATAGAGGTCGGGTCGCTCCCAGAAATGATAAGATCATCAACCTATACCAGAACATGTAATCTCAACGAGTCACGATGAAGGACGAACAAGGAGTAATCAGAATAGGACTACTGAAAACCATACTGACGTAACGCAGTAGTAAGTTTCGCAAACCAACACCGAGGGGCTTGCTTTAAGCCATACAGGGACCTGCGAAGCCGACATACCTTACTGGGCTCAGGTGAATGAAAGCCTGAAAGAAGTTTCATGTAGACTTCCTCAGTCAGATCCCCATGTAAAAATGCATTGTCCACGTCCATCTGATGAACCTCCCAGTGGCGAGCTGCCGCGACAGCAAGAAATGTCCGCACTGTAACCATCTTGGCAACAGGTGCAAATGTCTACTGATAATCAATCCCCTAAACCTGCCGATTGCCTAAGACAACTAAACGCGCCTTATATCGTTATAAATCCACTTACAACCAATCGCATGTTTCCCAGTAGGAAGAGAAACAACATCCCAAGTGTGATTGTTTTCTAATGCGCGAATCTCCAGTTGCATGGCGGATCGCCAACGGCTGTCTTTAACAGCCTCAAAAAATGTCTGAGGCTCAACAGCAGAGGTAACAACAGCCAGAAAGGACTTATGTGCAGATGAAAATAAAGCACAAGAAACATAGTGATCAAGAGGATAAGGCGTACCCGAGTTCGAGGATGTGATGGAGGAGCCAGAGTGGGGGGACAAGCAAACAGTGTGAGAGACGAAATTAGCAAGACGTGAAGAAGGACGTTTGATCCGATGACCACGACCGAGCACCTCTTTAGGGGAAGCAACACCCCCTATCATCAGTAGACGTAGGAGCCCTATTGTCGGCAGTACCCGTCGTAACAGGAGTTACGCTCTCGTCATCATCATCGGATGCCAGAGGCCATGAAACAACCGGTGTAGAAGGAGTATCAGAGGATGTCAAATAAGGAAACTCAGACTCACAAAATTCTACATCACGTGAGACCAGAAAACTGTGGTTATCTAAGTCGTAAGCACACCAACCTTTTTGACTGGCTGGATAACCCACAAAGACACACTTTCGACTCCGACTTGCAAATTTGTCACCATCCTTGTTCTGATTGTGAACGTAGCACAAGCAACCAAATACCCTCAAATGAGCATAGTCAGGAGGTTTGCC